CGTCGCACGACCCGCTCACTAACGTCTGCGCCTCCAGCGGGTGGAATGCTAGCGATTGTACCTACAACACACATAAATACACTCTTTTAAAGTTTAAACCTACTTATTCTCAAGAACGGCTGAACCGATATGACTGAAAATTGGTAGGGAGGTAGCTAAGAACTGGGAGAAGGATGTAGTGATAGAGTACGTAGGGTATGGTAGGTAGGATAGGTAGAGTAGTGTAATTCAAGTAGGGTAGGTAGGATAGGGTAGATAAGGTAGGGTGGGTAGGATAGGGTAGATAAGGTAGGGAAGATAGTGTGGAGTAGGTAGAGTAGGGTATATAGTGTAGAGCAAGCAGTGTAGGTAGGTAACTAGGTTGGGTACTGCAGGTAGTCAAATGACGGGAGGGAAGCCGCGGTAAGACTAAGTATTTAGTAAAAATTACCTTATCCTGGAAGCAGTCGATTTTAGTGTGCGGCGTGCCTTGATCCAAGTCCCATAGTAACACTGTGTTGTCAGCTGACCCACTAGCTAGCACATGTCTGGAAAAAAATTATACAATATAGAATTGGGTTTTCTTATAGATAGAAGGAAAGAAAGAAAAACCATTTATTTCTCCGCAAGACACAAGTAAACCTAACAACTACAACAAAACAAAAAAACACATTAATGAAAATGCAAAGTGAAGGTAAAAAGGAAAAAATATACTTAAAATACCCATTAGCTCTGGTACACTTAGTTTTTGAATACTCACGTAAAATTCCTGTTCCACGATAGATCTAGTACAGCATCCTTGTGTCCGACTCTCTTAGTTTTCTTTTTTTTATTAGGTTTTTTACCCAACTTGAAGGCTGGCTCCAGACAGTTCTCGATGTCCAAATCCCACACTTGAATAACTGGGTCCATACCACCGAGGGCACAGAGGTTACCTAGAAATTAATACATACATATACTTACATCTATATTTTCCTAATAGCATGGGCTTTGATTATAGAGAGTAGCCTATAACGGTCCTTACATAGTCACAGTTAAAGTTGGTGATATTCTTATAAGGATAAGAATATTTATTTGCACAATGTATTGTAAATAATATATTGAATCCCGAACCTCACCACTTAATCAGTTATGTTTCTGTTAGTATGTAATGTAAGTTTAAGTAGAATTAAGTATTTCCTACTGATCTCATTCCTTGCATTTATGTATACCTACCTACTTATTTTCTAATTTAATGTTCCATTTCATTGTTTAATTATATTACAATTCTAATGTTGTTATAATATTTTTAATATAATTCTAATTATGTTATTGTTCACGCATCAACCGCGTGATCATGTCGGCGGACGACGGCGGCGGCTGAGGCGCGGGCGCGGGGGGCGACACAGCCGGGACGCGGCGAGCGGCGGCGCGGCGGCGCACTTCACTTCGCATTCGATCCGATCGTTGTACACGTCGTTAACCACGATTAAACACATTATTGAATACAGTCCACTCTTTTGTGCATAAACAACCCTGAGCTCCCGAACAAATGGTCCTTCGAGCCGGATTGTAATAGATAGTTTCGTTCTTACTCTACTAGGTTATCACTTTATTTTTAAGAATGCTGGTTACCTGTAATTGGCGACTGTATAAGGCCAAAACCTAATGTTTCATTGTTTTATTTAATTTGCTATATACAGAAGCTGTTGGTGTACCTTTTCTAAATAAATAAATAAACACAGATGACATTTTGTAAAAATGTATCACATACATAACCTACTACAAATAACCAACAAATATTGCGAACCAATAATTTTCAGTCATAATATACATGATTTAGGAATTCTACTTCATAGTCAGCTAATCTAAAGTGTAAAACCAACTGTCTATAATCCAGTATCTAATAGAATCTGTGTTTTAGTCTATAGAAACCTTCGGTTAGCTACTGATCTGACCAAAGATAACTATTAAAAACTGGAAAATTATACAGAAGTCATGTCCTTTACACGACTTCTGTACAATTTTTTATAAAAATAGCTACTGCCTCTACAATGAGACAATATATATTATCTTAAAAAAACGAATCAATCAAATTTTTGATAGTATTTTAAGCTATAATATTAATAATAAATAATTTTAAGGCTGCGTGTCATGATGGTTGTTATACTCATAATTAACAGTTTTTTCCTTCATTGGTGAACAAAGGCTTTTCCATTTCTCTATCCTTCCCCGCCCCCAATCCCTCCTCAATCCTTAAATCTCCAAATCCCTAATCTCTAAAAGGTCGGCAACGCACTACGTAACTAACTAACGTAACTCCTCCGTTGCGGATGTCCATGGGCGGCGGTGATTGCTTACCATCAGGTAATCCGCCTGCTCGTTTGCCGACCAATTACATAAAAAAAAAATCACGCCTACATATCCAATTTTTTGAGACACTTCACCTATCTTATCTGATCAACAATAAGTAAATTGTAAATAAGACTTACCAGGGTTGGGATCCGAAGGGTCATGGCTCAGCCACTCAATACACAATGGGAACCATGGTAGGATGATATCATGGTGTACATAGAATGAATCCTCTTCCTTGTTGTAAACTGGAAAGTGTGAGTATGGTATTGTAATTTGTCTGTTTTCTTTTTTAGTTTGAAGTCACGAGATTTTTTCGCGTTTTATCTTACAGATTTTTGAACTCCGGGGGACTGTATAATCAGATTTTTGTTTCGAACTGTTTTCTTTCATAGAAGTCTTCAGAATAATGTTTGAATATTAAATAGATTAATAAAATTAAAATGCAATGGAAATACAGAATAACAATAAATAAAAAATGAAGTGCTATTTGTTACTCTGTCTCGCTTAAATTCGGGAAAAGCTGGACAGATTTAGTCTTGAAATATGGAAAAACACTATTTTATATCTTTTCGCGAGTTCCAAAAAATGTCTGTACCAAATTTCACAGAAATCGGAGTAGTTAAGGTGTGAAGGAAAGTCGGGCAGACAGAGTTACTTTCGCATTTATAATATTAGTTTGGATTTGAATTTTACCACCGTTTATTGATACCTGTGTTCAAATATAAATTATTTTGATGCTGTTTTATTAAATTAGTACTTACTGTATACTTCTAAGACGCTAGCGTCACTCTCGACATGTCCAACTAAAAGGAGATTGTCATTGGGTTTGATGATGTCATCTTCTTCATCACTATCTGGTCCCTCTGTCTGTGAACAACACAACCTACAATATTAATGCGATCTCTCAGTAGTTATCCTCTCTTTTGAAGATGAGGCTGACAGTCTAAAAGTGAGGTAAGTTTCAATGACGGGGTGGCGCGGCGTCCGCTTCTCATGCATGGGTTTTCAAAATCTGGCAAGTACCAAAGTGACATTTTTTGAGTTATAATGTACTTTCTATGATCATTTAGACGCCACTGATATATGGTAAAGAAAAACCTCGTGAGGAAACCCTGAACTTTCTAATTTATTATAAGTTTGAAACTGCCAATTAACCTTGATCAAGCCTAGCAATTAATGCTCAAGCCTTTTCTGTGTGCGAAGAGACCTTTGCTCAGCAGTAAACATTTATAGGCTGATAATATGATGATGGTTATGTGAAGTGTCAACATTTAAATACTCAATGTTTATAGACTTACCCTTATCTGAACATTTTCACTTAAGTCACCCAAATTTGGCAGTGTGGCTACGGTACCTATACCGACAGGATTAACTGGAAAAAAGGACATTGTCATGAATTTGGCTGAGCAACTGGTTACCAGGCAACATGACGAGTGGGGTGTGGGGCAACATTTTTTGTTCAAAATAAATTCATCACAGTGTGACTTGAAACCAGTAGAGCTTTTTTACACCAGTTCACATCTATTTCAAGTAGTGTCTGCCAGTAGCTTCTCCCGCAGTTACAGAGTGAAAAGTAGTCTAGGTATGTGTTATTCCAAACTACAATTTATCTCTAAATCAAATTTTATTCTGATCTGATCAGTTTTTTATGTCATGTAGTAATAAACATGCATCCAAACAAACTTTTATGTTTGTAATTTTAGAAGGATAAATTTTGCATGTCTGACAATAGTTATTCTATTAAAATACTAGCTAATCTCGCGCGGTTTCACCCGCTGCTCAGTTCCATTTGATTGTAGCATGATGTTTTATAGCCTATAGCACTCAGGACCATTTAGCTATCTATAAGAATTTTGGCAATCCAACCAGCGGTTCCAAAGATGACCTCCTTAATACAAACTTACAAATTTTACCTCTTTCAAATTAGTATAGATGAAGTCTTATTTGAAATAGTAATTTTAGTGTCTTCTATAGTTGTTTGATGACCAATACTCACTATTATCTTCCTCATCATATTTTTCAAAGTTGAACTCATCATTAGGATCTGCTGGTGGTTCTCTTGGTGCAGAACTGGATTCTCCTTCTTCATCACTTTCATCCTCACCGGCCTCTGCTATCCTGTAAGCAAAATTTTTTTAACCCATTTTTCAAATAATAAAACTCAATATTTTGTTCATAAAACATAGAGCAAGATGTGACATCTTTAAATTTTGGGGAACATATTTCTTTTAAAACAGCTAGAAAAATACTAAGACAGTACAATATCAAATCAATGAATAGTGTTATTATTTTTAACTATATCTATTAAATAGGAAACCATACACTTCACGATTATAAGCCACCTAACTATTAATTCACTTTGTAATGTTGTTTGTTAAAATATGAAAAATGCCAGATAACAAATCAACACTACAATTAGGGAACAAGCCCTAGGGATACTCACTGGCCAAGAACCGGCGGAAAAGAAATATTACAAACAATTTCACAACATATCCTAACAGACCGCTTCTTAATATATTATGAAAATTGAAAAAACCAATACATACCGCAAATCGTCAGCTGTTTGTTTGATAATTTTCTCCAATTCTTTCTCCGTTAATTCTATCTGAAATGAGATATACAGACCATAAAATCTTGTTTTAAACCCCACATTATTATAGTAATGACTGACTAAAAAATATAATACCTTTTCTGGCACTGCTTTCGCTACTCCGCGACGTACGAAGTGCATACATGATATTAAGCTGACTGTAGGTGTAGTTTCTTCCATTATTTTTAGTTATAACTTGTACTATCACACGCAATACAACTTAGACCCGAGGGACAAAACTTTAATCAAAACAATGTGGTGCACATGCTCATGCACATTTTCGTGATATTAGATTGACATTGACAGTTCATAAGGTTTGACACGGACAAATAGACAATAGGCACGAATGAAAGTAAAAAAATACTCCGTGATGATGACAATAGAACACAATGCAGTCTCAAGATGAAATTGAAAGAAATACTACAATTTCTCCTTTTTTGCATCCTTGAACTCAGTCATATGGTACAGTTTTCTCCATTAGTGCTGCCCTCTATGTCTTCATCAAACGACTTCATATTTTTATGTGGCCCGTCTGTCAAGTTGTGTTTCTGCCGCTTGGTAGCGTTGTATACGCTTGAGCCCGAAAAGTATCAACATTCCTTTGGAAAACACTTGATTGTTAACCATGCCGCGATGTTCAGCGGCAGGTTGCCGTAACATGGGGTCACATTCCTTCCCCAAAGACCCTAACTTACGAAAATTGTGGGAGACAGCTACGGGCAAAGACAACTACACAGCTTCGAAATATTCAAGGTTATGTGCTGAACATTTTAAGAAGAGCGATTATGTTGAAGTATGTTCAACAACAGGTAAGAACTGATTACATTTCTGAATACCTAATATTACTGTTGTTTATGAGATCTTTATCAGAATTTGTTGTTTACAATGAAACATCAGTGGTAATGACAATTTCTTGACTTCTAGGGGTGCCACCTTACCACAGATATTTGAAGAAAACAGCTGTTCCAACAATTTTTCATCATAAAAATACAAGAATTAAATATAAAACTAAGCCTGAAATTACAAGTGAGTATAAATTATAATAAATTATTTTTTAATCGTGCCTTTTTGTAATATGAATGTCAATATCACAAAATCATGAATTGCTATAGTTATACATGTCCTCCTCAGAGCTCTCACAGCTGCAGGACCTATATAGCATTTTCTACAACTTGTTTAAGGAACTTTATTTAGCATAATTCGGCAATATGCCCATTGCCCAATATATCATACGTTTATTAACATGCATAAAAGTGTAATAATAAGTCCCTAATTTTATTATAATAATCAGAAACAGAAAAAAATCTGCTGCCATCACGTTACATACATACACATAATTAGATAATAAGAATGTACATAACTTAAGAACTCAAGAAAGAGAGATCAAGGTAAGGCCAATAGGAAAGAAACATTAAACATTTTCCAATACTTTACAGTGACCAAGAACTCTTTTGCTATGAAGTTAATGTTAATGTCGAATCTACATTAACATTAAGTCCATTCTCATAACCCATTTTAATATTTGACTAGTAATAACGAATTCGTTTTGAATGGACTGGACTGGCTGTTCGGCTGCTCTCCTAGCTTTTAAAGTTTGACTTTTAAGTCTGGGGGCCAACTCTTTTCTTCTTTAGCCTGATAATAAAATAGGTTTGTGATAAACTATCAGGATAATTTATAAAGTTATTTCAAAACATCCGTTATAACATAACCCTCCGCCTTTTCTCTGTAGTCGAATAAGAAAAGAACGAATAATAATATGACCTTAAAGACACATAAGTATTATTAACAAATTGGCCATAGAAATAAGGGATTGGGGCAGGGAGAAAAACAATACGCATGCGTGATTCATGCTTTCGATCGCAGCGACCCTAGCGGCAAGTCGAGACCTTTTAGCACAGATTATTAATGGATAGCTAAACTCCGGTTTTCGAGATAAGGACATTATCATCCTATTGCTTGATTTTTTATATGTTATATAAAAAAACGGAAAAAAGGTCGAATCAAAAAATTAACCTCGCGTGAATAAAAATAATTAATACGAAAATTGGTAATGATGGTATTGTCTATGGCAATTTAAAAATTTCTGTCAAATGTCATGTCATTGCCGTAACAATTTGTTTACAATACAATCAGTTGTAAATCTTAATTCATGTAAACTTTATTCGGTAATTCATGAGTTAATAATAACGTTTTTATCGGTGAACCATACCTGTGCATTAATTCAGAAAATGCCGAAAACCTGCAATTATTATAAGTGCCGTAATACGAATAGAGACAAGACATTGTTCCATTTCCCGGTGCATGATCCAGATCGCCTACAAAAATGGGTTCGGAATTCAGGTATGTTTAGATTTATGTATTGTCATATTGCAATGAGCATAAAATATGTTTGCGCGTATTTGTGATAAACGTCCTGTCTAAAGTGCTTATTTTATTGTATAATTATGCAAATTTTTGCTATCGGTTTACTTATGATTTTGCCACAGTAAATGCTTTAAACAGAGTAAATTTCATAAAATTGCTGAATATCCTATCTTGATATGGAAATTTGTGTAGTAATAAGAAACCTTACAATTAAAAAATGGAATTGTATATGAATTAAAATTTTGGTATCTTCAAAAGAAGGCCCCTGTTGATGTTGATTTTCATTCTACATATATTAATTTTATATTATCTATTTACAGGGAATGTACTCTTGAAAAAATTACCAATGGAGTCACTTAGGTACAAATATGTTTGTGCTGTACATTTTCAACCTACAGACATAAGGACAGGCTTTGAGAGAACCACATTAAAGGGAAAAGCAGTGCCATTGCCTTGTCGGAAGCAGAATAAAAGTACTGATAGTAGTGAAGAACTCATATCATCAGATATAGGTAATTTTTTTTCATGTTTTGGGTGCCTTTTAATGTATTCCTGCAAAACAGTTTTATACTATTGCTGTTATCATTGTTTCAACTTGTTTGTACTTGTATGTTTTTCTGGTTTCAAATAAAGATTTTTTTTTTGTCTTACATACAAGCTCTGAAGCCCTTCATTAGCTATTTGCTATAATTGCATGTTATATTTTCGTTCTATTATTAATGGACTACAAAAAGGGAAGATATTCAAAGTTCACCTTCTTTATTTTTGTGTGGAGGACTGTTGAGCCAAATTATCACCAGTACCTAATACATTAGTAAAAAAAAAGTTATATGGCCTTATTTGCATGTTTTTGTTATTTTTTGGTACACTATCAAGTGTTTATTTGCCAGTTTGCAAAGGCCTATCAATCTTAAACATTCTAACCTTTTATAGCCACCTATTTATGTCCTATGATTTTTTTAGGTTAGCAATATTGAGTATTGCCATGCCCCATAATATTTTATCACTTTTATACACAATAGGTAGATAAGTACTTTTTCGTAATTTTTTATATCTAGTCATCCTAAATGTCATCTTGCTATTAATTTAACAGTGATTCGGCTGAATATTTTGATATTTTGGGACAGATTTGTCTATAGCTCTGAATATTCAAGAAAAAGAAATCAGGATTTGACCTTTATATTTATATAAACATATGGAGGCAAATGTTTTAGCTCATACATAAGCTAAATTATAACATAAGGAATCTGACATCTGCATTTACCAAGACTATGGTATCCCCACAAATTTGTTGTGAAAGTCAGATTATAGTAGTTTCATGGAAAATGGTAACTTGATGAATCCGTGAGGGTGCTTCGATCAGCAATCTCAACAGTTTTGCGCTGCAGTTCAATTTTTCGGGAAAAGTTGGAAAGAACATTTACTGCAATGTGATGAAATTACCTACAACAAATTCGAACCATGATTTGTGATTTTGTTGGTGTATAACTAAGTAAAAGAAATATTCCTCCATGAAAAATTTTCTAACAATAGACCACAAACAGGAGCTTGAACTGGATAACTATTACTGGTGTCAGTGCAAAAGTGCACAGTATCTCAAGAAGCAATAATTTGTTTGCAGTTTTTTTGTCCTTGATAATAAAAATTAAAAAAATGATGAGTTTTTATTTGGGTATTTTTATAAGAACCCTACTTTTAAATTAAATACTATTAATTTGTAAATCAAGTTAAGCTATTTATCAATAATAATTTATTCTTAACATTAACCTCAGGACTGAATGAAATAAAAACGGAAACAAAATCGAAGGAAACGGAAGAAATTAAGGATGCCCCTGAAAACACATCACAATCAGTCCAACCAGAAAATGAACCTCAAGAAGGGAATACATCGTTCAGAGACAAGTCGCAGAGGTTAAGGAACAAGAAAGATTTCTTGTGAGTAAATTTAGTATTTATAAAATGATGAGGGTGGTGAAGAAAAATTTGTATTTTTTTTAGTCTAAAGGACATTAAACAAAATTGCCTTGATCTAGCAGTAGGTAATTTATTCCATACCTACATCATACTCATTTTTAAGGCTATCATAGACTCCAAATTTTGCACATTTTTCTTGATTTATCTCAACTCTGAAATGTGATGCTTAATTTTCTACTTTGATTTGTATAACATAAATATGATCTTCTAATAAAGTGGGTATTTTAATATTGAGTTCAGACGTTGAGCCATAATAATATGGTCACAGTACACACAATACTTTCGTAACCGCTGTTTTGTCGCAGTAGGTACACTTGACAGTGATCGCAATCGCGATCATCTGATAAAATAATCTTCAACCTGCCCAGTCAAGAGTCAACCTTGTCATCTGTTGATGTTGAATGTTACAAAGTTTCCTTATTTAGTGGAGATAATACTAATTGGCGTGTAATAAGTTTTCAGGGCGAAACGATCAAGATGTACTGTACCACAATGCAATGGAGAAGTATCCAGTGAAGTATCATTACACCTTTGCCCCAATAACCCAGCAGTGAGACAAGAATGGGCTGAAGCTTTCAAAGTCAGATACTCTTTTGTCAAGACATTGATTGCATGCAGCAAACACTTCACAAAGCTGGATTTTTTTCAATCAAGTGAGTTTTGAGACATATATTTATTGTCATAATATCCATACTTGTGTAAAATGACATACCTAATGTTCAGAATTGTTTCAGAAAACGGTGAGCGCGTATTAAAACACAATGCAGTACCCTCCCGTAATCTACCTACAAAGGGTAGGGATGTAAAATACGCCAGTGAAAAGAAGTATGGCCCGACCTCGACTAAAAGAAGTACTGTTCAAAAGTAAGTATGAAAATGTATAATAAAAATTCATATTCTGAAGACTATTGACACATAATCTGTTTAATAATAACATCATCTTCTAAATGAGATGAGATGAAGATTTTATGAATTGATCCCATCGTTTTTTTAAGTAATACTTAAGTAATATTGAGTCTTGACACAACTTTTTAACAAGGTATGCTGTTAAAAAGTCATTGTCACATTTGCGCTTTTTTGAGTGGGGAGTTTATCCATATTTTCCTCCTGCTCTGGGTTGGGTGACAGGATGATTCAGACCCATACCGACTAAAACGGCTCCGTCCCTCCTCCTGCCCCGAGCCGAGTCGCGGCGGTGGAGTAATGAGTGCCATTATTACATCTTGCAACACAGGAAAAACCGCCATAGGCCATGTTCATCATTTTGACATTTCTGTACTGTCATCTGTCATCGTTCATGATACAACCATAGACAATATAGACATTTGTGGAACACTAGCAGTTCTCTTTCGTGAAGAGACGAGTGTTGGTTTTATGTTTAAATCTATTTTTACGCAAAAAGTACTTTTTATCGAGTCATCGTAATAAAAAACGTAAGTGATTGTAATTGGAGATCAAAAATAAACATTCGTGATGTAATTAATAAAGGATAGTGCAGAAATTACTTGGATGTGTGATTTTTTGTAATCTATTGCATTGGCAAAAACTATACGTCAGAATAGAACTGTCATTAAAAATTGACAATTAGTGCTCACGCGATCTCGATAATTTGTTGTTTATATGAATTTTTACATATTTATTGCGTGAAATGAAATCTTATTCTTTTATTTGTGCTATGTCAGGCAGATAATGAATAATAATGCGAGCGTTGAAGACCTACAGGAGGAAAAAGAAGAAAAAGTACTAGAAGAATGTCGGGCTTGTTTGAAAAAGTTAGATGATAAACAAAGTGTTTGCAATATATTCCAGCCTTGGGCTCTGCCCTGGACAGGTATGGAACCCACCATAGCTGAGGATTTGGCTAAGTTAGCCAACATTGAGGTTAGTAAGCGAACTTAATAAGTATGCTAGAAATAAATGAGGTTAGGTTAAGGGCCCGTTTCATCTAATCTATAAAAGTAGCCGATTATTTTTGAGGTTGATAATTCAACAAATTATTATTATAATCAAATTTATCTCGAGTGGTGAACCAGACATTCTATCTTGTGGTAGTTTGCAGTTTGAAAACTCCCCTAAGACGACCCACTGACCAACTTTTCAAATAAATTATTATTTGGGTTTAGTGGGTACCTTTAAACTCCAACACGTCAAGCAGTCTGCTTATTGGACTACAATTGGATGACATAATTGAAATTCTAATTAGAATGATTGAGTTCAGTGTGAATAGTTTAATACTGATTTGGATGTTTCTAGTTTGTATTTATATAACAACGTTATGTACATTCTAACTGCCATTTTACTTTATCTGTTACAAAAAATTAGCTGGACTAATGATAAACAATAAACTTGCAGGTATCACAGACAGATAGACATTCAAAGGTTCTGTGTGAACCATGTTATCAGAAATTATTGGATGCAGCAACATTTGCTTCCACTGTAAGAAACTGTGATCTGGTACTTAGAATGCGGTTTACAGCAGAAATAGATATGGAAAAAGTATGGCCAAAGCCCATACAAGTGGATAAAAACATCAATGGTTCTGTGTATACCAATCCGATGAATGTTGAAATCAAGCAGGAAGTGGTTACAGATGAAGAATATCCTGTTAACGGACAAGAAAATCAGTATGTTGAAGAACTGTCCAATTTGGATATTAAAATAGAACCAGAAGAATTTGTAGAAGCTCCACCTTTAAATATCACTATAAATGGTAATTGTTTTATCTGACTTACATTCTTTTTAAACTTTGCCCCAAAATATTGACAGTCAATTACAATCTAAAAATATTTTTAACTCTAATAACCCTACAAGTTATCTAGCAGTTGAACAGTAAATTAGATGATGAAGCACACTCCAACATGAACTTGTTATCCTATTATTATAAACATGAAAGTTTATATATGTGGATAAATAATTGATGTACATACTGTTTCACATAAAAACTACTGACTGAATTTGTAGCTATAAATAACTAGCTAATCTCGCGCGGTTTCACCCGCTGCTCGGTTCCATTTAATCATAGTGTGATGTTTTATAGCCTATAGCACTCAGGAATATTGTAGCTAACTATCAGTGAATGAATTTTGGGAATCTGACCAGTGATTCCAAAGCATACCCCTACATACAAACTTACAAACATACAAATGTTACCTCTATAAAATTAGTATAGATAATCTGGAACAACATGTAAGGTGGCTTTATGTTAGCACACTGTTATGACTTTTGGCACTCATATTTGCCTGTTCCAACTTATCTAACCAATCAGAAAGCCAAACATTTCAATGACATAAACAACCTTCCGAAAAACTGCATTATTCATACACCAAACAACAAAATAGTAATATTGTTATGATAAAACGATGCAAATGCAAACAGGCTAAGGTATAATAAATTGATCTTTTTGTGTGTCTCATCTATATTGAAAAATGTGATTAACATTCTCATTATTTTGTTTTAGGTACCATATCACTAGATCCTTTGAATTCCGAGAACAGAGAACTTATGAATGGACCTCAATTAACACAAGAAGCAACTCAAGTGAGGATTTTTTATTACTATTTATTTATTTTATATCTTGAAAGTGCATTTAACATTAAAAACTAAGAAAATTTTTATTTGAGATATATATAGTTAAGTAAAATATTAACATAAATTTGAAGTTAATATTACTAATATACATATTGTATTCACTAGTAATAAAGATGCAACTATCCAAAGATAGTCTGGTTTTTTATTTATTTATTGTATAATTGTTTACAGTTTATAGAGTTGACAGTGAAACAAGAGCCCACTAGTGACGGGGAGCAGGAAATAGAGTTAGCACCAGACCTGCCACTCGAGTGCATGCTCTGTGCTAAGTCTTTCCACAGCGTCACTGGACTTAAGGTTAGGAATATTTATCTCATTTTTTCGTAGCATGTACATTGTTGATTTTGTCACTTCTGAGATATTAATAAAACATATCGTCAGTATTAGTCTATAAATATTGTAGCCATATTTTCAACATTATTACACAGTTTTAATATACAAAAAACAATAAAATGTTTGTTTTTCCATTTCTATGAATTCGTCTTTTCTGTTTTCATCTTAGGTGTCAGCAGCAACAATTTTTTTCTTATAAGAACAAGCAATACATATAAGAGTCTATTATAATTTGTCAGAATAGCAACAATCTTCTCCATGCTGTTAAAAATTTTAATTTTAGATGAATTCACACAAAAATATTTAAAAGAGTCCTTCATTCCAGGCGCACGTGATAGCCCATCATTCCTATAAATCTGTGAAAAGGAAATCAGATGGTAGTGTTTCACCGGAGAAGAAACGGACTGATAAATACACGTGCGGAATTTGTAATGTTGGTGAGTTCCTATTCTTGTATATTAACTATCGTGATAGAAACAAAGTTATTTGTAAATAACGACGTACTCACGTGAATTAAGTGAGAAAGCTCTAGTAGTTTGAAATCACGACGGCACTTTTAATTTATGAGCAGCGTGCGCGTCGCGTAGCTTACTGTCGAAGTGGAAGTCGTTATTTTCCATAAATTTTATGAATTTCATTTAAATAGCTTCTACCTACTTATTAATACGAAGTTTGCTATAATGCCCACACTTGGAAAGTGGGTCTGAAAGTTTAGATAATGTTGCCTGTCTCCGTCTCTCAGTGTTTGGATAATGTTTACATATTATCGGATTATGAATAAGGAAGAGGAGACACAATCAAAATTGAAATGTTTCCACTAATTAATATATTTATGAATAACTTTAGTTTACTTTATTCAATGATTTAATTCAATTTATGAGATTTTAGATTTTTTTAATTTGTAATTTCAAAGTTCATAGGATTATTTAGTTTTTTTTTATATCAAACTAGCTACTCTCGCGCGGTTTCACCCGCTGCTCAGCTCCATTTAATCGTAGCGTGATGTTTTATAGCCTATAGCACTCAGGAACATTGTAGCTATCAATCAGTGAAAGAATTTTGGAAATCCGACCAGCGGTTCCAAAGATTATCCCCTACATACAAACTTATAAATTTACAAATTCTACCTCTTTATAATATTAGTATAGATGAAAGCAAAGCCAATCTTTTATTTTGCGATATTATTAAGTTATTTATTGAATTATGGACAACCAGTAGCTGCTACATTTTTTCTTACATCTAAACATTAAATACACTATAATAAAATTAAATGTACAGCATTTTAATGTGTCACAACATGCACAAAATATTTCGTAGTGACACAAAAAATAATTAATAATAAAAGAAAGAATATAATTTAAAATAATAGGAAGAAGAGTAATAAGATAGAATTTGGCATTAAAAAGTTTTATTACAAGTTTTCTTTTATTATATTTGTACCTAGCTATTCTCTATTAATCGTAGCGTGATGTTTTATAGCCTATAGCACTCAGGGACATTGTAACTATCTATCAGTGAAAGAATTTCGGCACTCCACCAGAGGTTCCAAAGACAACCCTTCATACAAACTTACAAACCTACAAATTTTACCTCTTTATAATATTAGTATAGGAAAGTATTGCACACAGAAGTACTAATAATATAGCGTAGCGGTATGCGCTGGCAACCCAAAGGCGTCCTTCCGACGCTGTAACTATTTAAAAGGCAAAACCTAATATTTTTTGAATGTCAAAAATTATATGATTTTTTTGTGAATTTTGTATGATGCTCATTTCATGGTGGTTTATTTTCCAGGCTTTAAGACCTCAACAGATCTGATGGTGCATGAGACGTGCCACAATAAGTACGCATGCTACGCCTGTTCACGGAAATTCGACTCCTTCCCAATGCTCACTCGCCATCGCAAGCGGTGTAAAGCAAGCGCTTCTAGATCTGTACAAAAACTTAAAACTTTAGAAGATGTCAAAAGGTGAGTTTAATTACATATTTATAATTTGAACTTTATAGTTAGCTCACTTAGCCTTGCGACGAAACACAACTTTATTTTCTACACAAGAAGATACACCTTTTTGCCGTTCAGTGATTTTGTGATAGTTTTGATTGAAGGGCGGGTATTTTTAGTATCTTTTAATGTTTACTTTTCTCTAGACACGTACATTTTCGCACCAAAAATGTTGTTTTTGACCTAGGCACCCCAACACCCCAGGACCTTTAAGCAATTGCCTACTCTGTCTATTGGCAACATTCGCGTCTCAGTGGCACGCTGTCTTTCGCGGATCCGTTGGTCTTTTAAATAGTTTTTCGCATCACATCTCAGTGTGATTTGAACCTCATTGTAAAATAATAAAAATGAAAGCAAAGCCAGTTTTTGGTATTCAAAAGTTTTATTACAAGTTTACTTTTATTATACACTAGCTTTTTCCCGCGTCTCCGTTCGCGTAGAATAGTGACTTCCTGCAGATTTTTGGTATAAAAACTATCCTATGTCTTTTCTCAAGTTCCAAACTATGCCTGTACCAAATTTCACACAAATCGGTTCAGTAGTTTAGGCGTGATGAAAAGACAGGCAGACAGACAGAGTTACTTTCGCTTTATAATATTTGTAATGACTAGAAGTTGAACAACCGAAAAAATCGTAGACGGGTAAAATAATGGTATATATTAAACATTTCAGGCCAGCAGTAGAGGATATATTAAAAGATTTTGGCGATGGAGAGACATTAGATGAAGTAGAAACTGAAGTTGAACCAGCATTGCCAACAGAAGACCAAGAACAATCACAAGAACAAGACAACATAATAGGACAAGAAGATTTAGAAGAAATGGAACCGGACAACCTAACAGAAGAACCAAATGTACAGAACACAGAAGAACAAACAGAAATAACTAATGAGGATGTTGAAATGAAGGATTTAACAAATAGTTATAGAGAAGAACTTGATAAAGAAGATGAAAAAGTTAGTGTTGATAAAGAATCAACAAATGAGGCTGCAGTCAAAAGTTTAGGAGATGAAATACAAATTGATTCAAGTGAAACAATAAGTAATGTTGAAAACGAGAGTGTTGCCAATGAAAATAGTGATAAAAACATTAACAAAAGTGAAGTTAATGAATTAGAAAGTTGTATGAACTTAGAAACTGAAAGCAAAGTTGATGAAGATCCAGATAGAAGTATGGAACTTCATCTAGAGATACATTCAAGTGATAAAAAGACTGAACCACAAGTAAATGATATTGATATGGCTGTAGGAACTATGAAAAATGATGACTGTACTTAAAAGTTGATCATCAGAAATTGTAGGCTTTAATTTTTGCTAGTACTATGAAGTAATCACATTCAAAATTCCCACCTATTGATTGTATGGGAAATATTTCAATACTGTTAATTTAAAAAGGCAAATCCTTCTAAGGAGAGTCCAAGTTCAGAAGTGAATTGTCTTTCTATTCTGATAAATTACATGAAGTTTTGAAATGCCAAGATCTGCTGTACTATCATCAAGTAAATGAGAAACATAACATGTTGTCGGTCTTACAATGTGGTTTGAAGTTACCCGATTAGCTGCGCAGTACACGATTTTGTTCCTAAAAGATCTATTGCGCAGACAAACGGCTAAGTTCAGACTCGCCGAGATGCGTCGGCCGTACTGTACACGGTTGCGAATCTTCGAGCCTTTTCAAGTCGACCTTTTAAAAGTCCCTTCACCACCCAAAAGGCCAACTACCTATGTAATAGTAGAACGGCGTGTACTGCAGGTTTCAGACCATTGAAGTTTTGCAACAATATCTTTTAAAATGGCTGACTTAAAAATGTGATTTAAGTATCTCTGTAAAGTATCTTTGTAAGCAGTTAAATGACTTAAAAGTCATTATCGTATTAAAAATTTTGTTGAATTGTTAATTTTGTACAAGGTAGAATATTTTGTCCTTGCAGTCATTTAGCCCGCTAGATGGCAGTGTGACCTGTTTTTTTAATTCCTCCTAATTCTAATAGATTATTAAAATCTTTCAACCAAAACATGGGATTTCAAGTCCCATATGTTCAGTTTTTATCCGAAAAAATCTTGACTGCACTATTTGTTAGCAAAAGAATTATACACCTTATTATTATAAACTTTTATACCAAACTTCATAAACTGATATATGAATTCAGGTTTTTATACGTATTGATACCATAAACTAGGTGAATGAAAGAGAATTTGCGTAAGGCATTGAGTCTGTACCTCAGCAAAGGTTTCCTACATGTGTCTTCAAATCTCTTCAGTAGACTTGCCCATCTGGTTTTATTTCTATTGGTAATACTTGTAATCTATTAACTTTGCCTCTAAATCTTTATTCTCCTAGTTATGGATAACACATTTGGCCTAATTTGCATTATATAACTATGCACTGGTTAATAATTTGTACAATTAACAAATTTGTTGTATGACCCGCCATCAGCTTATTTAGCTTGTGTACAGGTCACCATGGGTGTGAATGTTATAAAAAGACTAGATACGTCCAGATAGTCTTTCATTTTTTTAAGGGGAAACCTTCAAACCCTGTCTTGCTTTTGGGGAAAAAGACTAAGGAATGTGGGATTTTTACCCCACTTAAACCTTCCAGGTGGCCAGCATCAGCATCTATCAATATATCTATAAGGAACACCGGGTCCTCTCAGTAGATGAACTCCGGAGAGTGCCTAGGGCGAGTTTGTTTTACGTTAATGCGATAGAAATTTTTAATACCTCGTCGGCCGGCCTTTGTTTGGTTACATCGAAGCAGGCGAAACGGAGAGCTGAACATCATTAACGCGCTAAACGCCTTTATAAGCACACTTGCACTAGGCACTTAGATCTGACGATTGCGTCTTTTGTTCACGACTGCTTGGCTGCTCTTAAACTGGACGTTTCATAACAATTTATCGTCATTATGGGGTCATGAGTGAAATTTGTCAATTGTTTTGTTGAGACCACTTTTTCTACAACTCCTATTCGTTACTCTGTACAGTCATTGTTCATTTTCTTTGTTGAACGTACCTATATACATATTGTCGTAATTGGTTCCAATGTAAATATTTTGTGAAACTTTAAAAGTTATGTTTATTGTGATGTATGAATAATGTTTCCTGTAAAATATATTTCGCAAAATGCATTTCGAAAAATATTACTTTTTGTTTCATTTTTATGGTTATTTGTGGTTAGATATTGCTGCTGTTATTTCCAAAAATAAATTAATAAATTTCCAAATTACCTTTGAACTGCAAATAGCGGTTTAATAACAAAATAAAATACTAGATAAATAATTAAAATCATTTTAATAATATAATTTATGTTTCAACAGTTGTGCTCCACGTTAGATGCTGTTACAGTCAAAATTAGTGCCGTGACCACACTCAAGTACTATCACATAGACAATATTAACAATTTATTACGTAGCACATGAATTTAACCATACAAATATATATACATGGTTCAAAGAAATTGATTCATTAGGTGACAGTAAAAAAATCTTTCCATCAGTATTCAATACTGTAAGTCTTTCAAAACCAAATGCATCGTTAAGATGTCTTTCCTGAATGGCTCTAGTTATCAACACGCAACATTCAGGTATATTCTTTAAATTTTCGGCCAGTGAATTAGAAATTCCGACGACCCCAGCGGAGAAAAAAGCCAGAAAACTTAATTAAAAATACTGCAAATTAAGTAGAAAATAAAAAATAAAATATAAATTTTATATTCACAGCCGTTCACAAGACATCGAGAATATAACGTGCAATAAAATGCTCTAATAAATATATAAAAGAAAATGCTATGTGGGCATTGGAATTTAATTCCTGTTCAACTCGTTAAGGATTCGTAGAATGTACAGGAAGAGATTGATGATATCAAGGTACAGGTTGATGGTAGCCAGGATGTACTCCTCAGGAGACAACGTGGTCATCATCATCTGCGTGTCAAAGATAAGGAAGAGGCTGAACAAGATGGCACCGACGAAGGACAGGGCGATTTCGAACCCTGAGCTCTGGATGAAGAGTTGTAGGATGCCGCCCACGATGAGCACCGCGAGACCCGCAAAAAGCCTGAAAATATAATCATTTGTTAGACTTTTTGTGTACTATCTTGAGCTGACCTGAACATTTTAATTAGAAATGGAATGGTATCGTAATAGGCTAATCCAAATCCTATACATACGTTATATAGGCGCTATAATTTTTTCTAAAATGATATTTGTTTTAGTGCCCGCGCTGGCGCCTTAGACACTTTCCGCATCACACATCTCACATACATAATAATACATACTGCATACATAAGAGATTCAGCGCTGAACCTTCAAGTAATATAATTACAGAAGGCCAAATAATGCCAGTTGTCCGAATCAGTCCTTAACATACGTAAATAATATAAAAAATTGAAACAAATAATTATTATTTTGTTTTGTTATAACAAGTTATGGTGGCAACTACTCTAATTGTGGTTCAAGGCATCGTTATTGTAGATTTTATAGAATAGGAGGCAAACAAGATGGATCACCGGACCCACCAACAACCATCCTTAAGCTTTGAGAACAACGTGAGACATTCCGTTTTTGTTAATTACCTATTTTCAATTATCCAAATCGATCCCGGTTTCAATAAGGTGTGATTTTTAAATGGTTAGATAAAAGTTACCTAGGGAATAATTATGATGCTGTCGCGTCAGAATGTTTGTATAAGATAGTGACAGCAACAATTTTATTCATTAGATAACATTTATCTGACTATTGAAAAATCAGCCCTAAATCGAATAATCAGTGTACCACAGTATTAGAAAACTTACCCATAACCAATGAAAGAGAAGTCAGTCTTGGTGTTGAGGGTGAAGACGGTGAGAGAGAAGACTACGGCGAAGGTGAGAGTCAGGGCCTGAAGGACGACGGCTGTGTTGTAGTACGACACTACCACGCCCACTGAGTATGCTTGTACCACCGTCTGAAATATTAATGTTGTTTAACACTAGGTGTGACAGAGATAAATGCAAGACCTTAAAATTGTTGTTTTAAACCCTGAAACTGAAAATTTGTTTTAGCAAACTTTGCACCGATTTTTATGGAAAACTTGAAATTGTTTTATTAAGTTGATTCTGTGTGGCTTCAAGACAATTTCTTCAATAAATCCTGAAAGGTTAGACAAAGGCGTAATGTGCATTGTAACATCTACTTTTTCTTATTTGTAGAGGAATATCATCAAATGACTTCTGCCGCCCAGGGTCGGCCGGGGGGAAGTGGCAGACCTCTCCTGTTCTGGGCTGGGAAGAGGTACCGGTTCCTCGTTGCGCTTGCTCCGTCATCCTGGCTGATTGTAACATCCACTTGAGGTCTAATTTCCATAACCTAGGGATAGAAACTGGTGCCTCTTGGTAGGCGGTCGCGCTTATAGTCACAACAGTGTGTGTGACCAGCACATGTCAGTGTTGCCACAATCATGACCCTACAAGAAATAGATACTTACAAAAGCCGCCAGCAGGTAGAGGTTAGCGGGCGAGTCCCTTCTCTTGGCGATGAGTGCGAATAGCGTGATCATGCTCAGTATAAACGCTATTATCACCATCCAGTCACTGAAACAAATTATTCCATGGTTATAAAATCTATAGGTACTAATACTAGCTGACCTGGCTGACCAAATACTGCCTACTACAAAAACTTCCTACTGATCATTTTGTAAGGTAGAGATAATTTTCTTTTCACACGATTTTTACAGACATTTCTGTTCCGATTTTTTCGATAAAGTCTCGAGACTCGACTTGCAAATAAACTTGGTGGTTTACGTTTACGACGTTTTAGATAGAGTTTTATATAAAACTCTTGTTTTATATAAAACTCTATCTAAAACGTTTGTGTCGAGTTTGTTTCTAATAACAAAATACTGGTTTGAATTGAAAAAATATTTTTTTTTGTATAAGCAATACATTTATCGTTCAAAACTATAGGTAGAAAAATACGAGTGGAGGAGCATGTGAACCCATGTACCTAATTGTCATAAGTAAATATTTGGTTTGCTTCAAAGAGGATTATCGTCATTGGTTTGCCTCATTGCTTGAGAGACTCATAGATGCAGTTTTTTTGTGCCTCTTCTTAGTAGTACTATGGCGTCTCAGCTACGTAAACCTATAGTATAAACTGATGTTTGAATGTGTGGGACGATAATACCGAGTGCGGGACATATAATACATTGGTTTTCTATAGGTTGATACGCCGTCTTGTGTGTACCATTTATAATGTGGGAGAGCCATGCTTTGGCACGAATGGATTGGCTCGATACCGTGTGATACCATGGCCTCATAGAAATTAGTCTTGAAGCAACACTTAGGTAGGGTGCGTTTCTCCTCATTTTCTTAAATCTCTTATACCTAACCCAATGGCTGGCAATGTCCTTAACTCCTTTATTACAACTGTCCATGGTCGGTGCTGATTGCTTTCCATCAGGTATTGACCGATTTTATGATATAACAAAAACACACTTAAATATTGGTATATTATACACAGTGTGGTACTAATGTAAATTGGCTTTCTACAGCTTCATATGCGACCTTATTAGTCAAAAGGAAAAATAACTGTACCTATATCATTTCATTATAAATCGGGTATTGCACAATATTTTCCTCATTCACTTTATAGTCAGCATTTACAAAAAAGGTAAGAAAGAAGGAGAACCAGATACAAGGAAAAATAATAAATAAATAAATAAAATAAGAAAATGTCTGTAGATAATGTTATTCCCATTATCAGTATTTTTATATATGTGTATGTAAAACTTTCTTAGCTGTTGTATGACTAACCTAAAAAACCCAGAAATTGTTATACATTAAGCTTTTTCAAGGATATTTTTATTAGAGTATTGAAAAAAGATCGTAAAACCTGTTACTTCATTGAAAATAATTCTTCTTCTTATTTGCACATTATGTAAAGTGGATTGGAGTATGAAGAAGTATTTATATAGGGAAAATATTTTTTTAAGGTGAGTAAGTCTATAGTCTTTTTCTGTCCTGAGTAGGGCAAGGAAAGTATCCATTATTAATCAAAAATACAGTCTTACTTTTGATGTATGAAGAGTTTGATGGGTTCAACAAGATGGAATGTTCCAGCGATAGCAACCGTAGCCAACAGTTGCATGGAGAGTAGGCCGTATACTTTGCGCACGAACCCCAGTCGGATCTCTTTATCAGCATTGGCCACATTGTTGCGGTACGCAAAATCATCCTGTAAATACAATTTAGATAATATAATTTAATCTAATATTTTGTTTGGTATACATAATTGGGCATTCATGTTGTAGTCTAAAATATAAATTAAATTTAATTATTTCATCAAAACTCAAACAAACACTGGCATTTGCACACCTAATTGTTCTTCTATGACTCTTAAATTACCATATAATATATAGGTACTTCTTTATTGCAAATATAATAATAGTTTAGTCTTTTATTTAAAAGTTGTAGGAGAGAATGTTTATGTTATTTAAAAAAGTAAACAATTCACTATTTATTTATAAAATATTTTACTTGGTTCTTATAAATTCTGTTAATTGTTGAACAAAATGTATTACCTGAATTCTTAACTTATTTGTATGTAAATACCAGCTGATCACACAAAATGGAGGCTAAGATCAATATGCTAATGTTGCTAAGGCTTTAGCAATATAAGTTTGTAGATATTAAAACATTACAAATATTTTATATAAACTTTCACAACTAATGGCGAATTATGGAAGAACTTGTTATTTTTGCATTTAAGGCTTTATCTTATCAATGGCCTTAGCATTGTACTATCGTAAAACAATCAGCGACTTAAAAGAATTATTTATGCCAACCATAGAAAAAAAAATATGCTTCATGCTTCGTTATGATTACAAGAATTAGCACATGAATGCATTCTAAACGCAAACGTGTTTGTACGAGTGACTTGTTTAATGTTTAAGCCTATTAAATCGAAGGACAAACATTGGGGACGACATTTCATATTGTAAAAAAGATAAATAACTCCACTATACCTCGATGGATTCCTTTCCACCTAACTCACAATCTTCTTGAGCATACATTAGCGGTATTGAAGCCATTTTCGATTGATTTAATTACTGTATTTTATTATTTAATGAAGTTTAAACAACTGTTTCGCACAAATTATTATGGTTTTCGGATTTCCCTTTCAAAGAGTATGTAACCACTACGTTTAAGAGACGGGACTCCCATACAAGCCAGTGGAATCAATTTACACGGCACTGTAATACCTACATTGCAATAAATAAAAGATGTCAGCCGTCAAAATCAATAGTACCAACCTAAAAGACCAAATAGTTCTGTGGTAGCTGTATACTAGGTTTAGTATCGATATCGATAATATTTATAGGGTAGAAATCGAGGTCATATTACTTTTTTAATTTTTAGTTTCGATCTTTAAGATAAAGTTCGGATTTGAAATAAAACATTGTGTTATATTAAAAACTAAAAAATATATTTTTGTAATAATATTCAAATTCATGTTATATACGGACGGTGTGTTAAGGACCTAACTAAAATTATTTAAATTAAGTGGACTGTAATACTTAATACATATATTGGTTCAGTAAATTGGTTCTATGGGCACATTCACTAAATCTTCTTTGCCAACAACTTTCACCCACTGCCGGCACCTGAAAAATGGAAAAAATCAAAATGGACAGTCCCTGACATGAATAACTCTAAATTGTGTAAACAGCTGGCGTTCCTTATATAATAAATGAATAAATTTTACGAATACAGTATACATACATTTTTATCTACGTTTAATCATTTATTTCTTAAAATCTACTGGGTTAGTCGTGTCACAACTTTGTTCAACAACATCTTAATAACATCATTACTTCTTTGGTGTGGTCTGGAAAGTAAATCACGAAAGAATAAATAAATCAAGGGATCTTTGGAGTTTAGCCCACACATAAGTCTGTGACTATCGATACTTGAGGTACATCACTAGTACACAATAAGTACATGAAAATCAATCTACGTGTATTTGTAGCCTTTTATACTTAGAATTAAATAAAATTATATCATTTAATGCTTACCGGTCCTCATCCAAAGGAAATTTCGCCATAAACATCCTTTTCTCGCCATTTTTACGACCGGATCGTCCTCCGCAGATTTCACAAGTTAGAAACCGTTTTTTTGGTGGCATTTTACTTGAACACGTAACTAGTCACAGCCGTATCACTAACCACTAATTAACTAAACAAATTTTACGTAAATTTATGAAATTATGAAAATAACAACATAAACTTACAAAAGCAACGACATTCAAAGTTCAAAACTTCAATTAAAATGGCCGACGGATTAGTGAAAGAAAGAGAACTGTACTGAGGGAGTGGGATGGCAATATCCGGCTACTTCCGTGTGCCATTATTTGCCGTGCCAAGCCCATACATTTTTATTTTTCTTCTAAGTTGCGCTAGGCTGTTCCCTTTTACGTGTGATGTCGCAATGACACTAATGACGTTGTTAGCTGACATTCTGTCATGCGTCAGGTGATTAGAATTTGTCTGTATTCGGGTATCAGGCCTTTAGCTGTCCTTTTTGAATTCTTTAGAAGATATTATACAGACTGGATCCAGTGAGTGAAAAGTTTGGTTTGGTTGTATTGAAATAGTAAATGAACGTGTTTAAATAAAATGCTTTTTTGGGTTTCGGAATTATAGAAGACATTGTACTTGAGTTTATAAATTATTGTGGCTTAAAATGTTGTCTAAGTAGTACATTAAAAAAAAACCTTTTCTGAAGTAAACATAAACGTAAGAACTATCTACCAACTGTTCAAGTATCCTAGATTATTACTCTAACATTATAAAAGGTACAAGTAACCGAGGCAGCAGTAAATGTGCAATAAAACGGAATTGAGTTAACTGCGGAGCGACTGCCCGAGCCCCGAGTCTGCTAGCTCTCCGCACTAAATCAAGTTTTGAGCGAAGAAACTTATTTATCTCAACCAGTGGAATCACAACGGATGAAGCTTCTGCAGGCAGCAATTACGTTTTGTTATGTCAGTAGATAGGTAGTTCGATTTTATTGCTATTATACCTAATCAATTTGATTGTGTTCATTTTGTCACTTAAGTAATTTTTGGTCTTGTTTTGTATAGGTAAAAATGTATACAAGCTCGCAACACGTTTTTATATATTTTGAATAATTGGACTATGAATCAATAAAGGTCTAACGTACTCAAATAACTAAGAAAAAAATGTACAAATATATAGATAAGCTGTTCAAAGATTTGTAGAAAAAGACGAAGGCTTGTAATAAGTAGACAGGTATCGATTCACTTGGCCGGCCATTATTTTTAGTGGCTCTTAAAGTTTACTGTCATCGGCAGCCGGGGAAAGGTCGAGCGGTAATTACTGCTTTTACAGTAACTACCTGCTGGTGCATTAGCGGTTCTTAGAGTTGCTAGAGGAGAAATTAAAGTATAAGTATAAGTCTGCTTGTTATAGGTACTTAGTATGCTGTATAATGAAGATTTCTACGTAAACCAATCTGGCAAATAAATAATAGAAATGTTCACTAATGTAACAACACAAGTATGTATGTGGATATTCCATAACATAGATTAAATTTTTTCTTCAATGGTTGGTCACACTTTGAATGCATACTTTTAATAAGATTTTAGGGAAGAAAATCCTATATACCGTCCACAATTCTAGACTTGGAGCTAAAACTGAGGATTATCTCTGATCTGAAAAAAATATCAATTACAAATCGTTTGCTCTATCGGGGAATCTAAACCAAAAAAGTGAGCCAGAGGTTTGACAGTCAAATGAATTACACAAAACAACATTATATTTATGCGGGTATTAACGCGGAAATACCCGCGTAAATATAATGTTGTTAAGATGAAACGCGAAAGTTTAAAAGTTAGTAATTACACAAAAGTTTGTAAGTATGAACGGATATTCGTTATTCTCTCACATAAAAACATATGGCTCCTTTTTAAAAGGCCGGCAACGCTCCTGTGTCTCCTCTGGTATTGCGGATGTCCACGGGCGGCGCCGATCGCTTACCATCAGGTGATCCGTGTGCACGTTTGCCTTCATAAAAAATATAGGCTACTTGTGATCTTGGTACTATAGCAGAAGCCGCTGATGTAAACTATTGGTCTTCAATATTTAAATAAGCAATAAAAATATCAGAGAATGCTGCCGTGAAGCATGGTTTGCATTGTGTTCCGCTTTGTGAGCGTAGTTACCGGGAGCTCAATGCTTCCTCTACGTGCCCTATCCCGAAATCCACAATCTTCAAATTCGTAACATCTCACAAAATGTCGGCAACGCACTTTTTACTCCTCTTGTGGTGGTGGTGTTCATGGGCAGCCATGCCAGCCGATTTATACTCTTTTACCTATCAATTACATAAATAAACAGTTTATATTAAAGAGGATTGTAGACGAGCTCGTAAACTTGGCTTGTTTTCAAGAAAGATCTTAAGAAATGAATATTGTCAAATTAAATGGACCGCTACCGCTAGCTCGCAGGTGGACTTCCGTAAATCGTACGCTTAACAAATTAGACACAACGACTTTGTGGTCCATGTTACAAACGACAGGATTTAACTTTAAAATAAAGGATCATATTTATTAACTTAGCTACATTACATTACTCAAATTTGAATCTGGTTATGCTATAAAAAACTGAGATTTGTCCCGGTATAAATATCTATCTCTTTTCGTTGACTTGACTGGCCATCCCCAAGATCATAAGGTATTATGGCGACCATCTGATAAAGAGAGTCTTTGTTTAGAAGTGGATGTATTTTGGCAAATGTGATAATGATCCTTGGACACTCACAACACTTGAGTCACTAGTGAATCTAGATCAATTTGAGATTATGGGGATATGGGATCGAGGTTGGGAGGATCAAAGATTGGATTTCGTGTTACTTCAGTCGAAGAAATGCAACGTTTTTTTTACACCCGTTTCTCACGTGGCCGAATCATCACTCCGGTCGACAGGGCCCATTCGTACAGCTCTGTCACATTAAAAATTCTCCCCTAATCTACGCTTCTTCTGCCGCTCCATTTGTATCACACACATAAATTGTAATTGCAGCATCGAATATTTGTAGAAATTATTGTTTATCGCGTGCATTTTTTTTATATAGTGCCTATTACTCCGTTTTCGCCGCTCTTTATTTACGGCACAGCGCCGCAGTTTAGGCTCCTCGAGTCCCATTCTCGGGGACTTGCTTTCAAGAAATTTAATTAGAATTCTCACGAAAATTTCTCCCATAAAGATGTTCCAGATAAAATACCGGGTGACAGCGGTATTAATAAAAATTTGTTAGTAGTAAGACTGGCTTCGAAAAGTGTCAACCGATTATTGAATTATGTACCAAAGTGCTTAGCAAGTAACGCCGTCTAAATAAAACAAAATAGAGTTTGATTTCATAATTACAGTTAAAAAAAAATGAAAGTAAGGGTAGGCAATGAATAGCTCATTAAAGTCAACCACAAAATGTGCTTAAATATATGTGACCAAGATTAAAAACGAATAGTAAATTTATTAATCAGGTCAGAGCACAAGCTTTATAAGATTTTAAGTTCATACAATAATAAATTAACAAATAAACAACTTCTTTAAATTCATAACCGCATCAAAAGCTCATTTAATTGAAATAATTGTCGAACGACCACAGAATATAGGCCAATGGAGACAGAGAGAATGAGAGAACAGGCCGATTTATTGGTAATTGAAAACATTTCGATTTTCCGCCGAAACGACAGATATAAGAACAAATCCATTTTTAATGGCGTCAGCTTCCTAATGGTTTGGGGCAGGTGGCTGTTTTTTTATGTTTCGTTCTGTTTATGGTTGCATTAACTTTTTTTTTTTGCGTGGATACCATGACGTACCTGAACATTTAAAAAATAAACATTTCAGATGAAAAGCGGCCTTTATTAGTTTTTTATCAATCAATAAAAAGTAACTATAACTTTTAAAATCTAGTGCTAATAATAAAAAGTATAAAAACTAAAACCCAACTACGACAAAATCGACGCTGACAAAGTATAAAACAAGATTTTCAAATTACTGAAAGGCGCAGTCACACGTTGTCAAAGTGTTACGATAGATAGGTATATATATGTCACGTGTGACTACGCCTTTCAGTATTCTAAAAACCTAAAAACTAAATGTAATTTTGGTGTTAAGGTGTAATTGTGGCGCATAATATCAACAAAAGTATTAAATTGATGAACTAATGAAAAGTATTAGAGGCTATGAATGAAAAGATGTGAATTATATGCAACCAGCCCGTTGCATACCATACATAATCTATAATCTAATATATATACATAACCCTTCTTTTGCTTTGCCGTAGTCGGGTAAAAAACTTTACCGATTTGATTGATTTACCGAGGTTGAACTAAACTGCAATAAAGATCGGAAATCATAAATAACCTTTGAAAAAATAAAAATTTCGGGAAAACCGCATATCGAAATCAGTTATAATTCTCGTAGTGGTGAATGCAATACCGTTCGCATTGCGGCACTCCTGACCATTATGCAGATCACGACCTAACTACAGTTTGCTGTTTTGATTCATTTCTGATGTTTAGGCTTCAGACAGAAATTTACTACTACCCAACTAATAATAAATGCGGATAAAAGTGAGTTGGTTACCTTGTCTTCTAGCTTTATCAAAATTTTCTCGAGTTTGAAAGTCGAACTCAATATTATTAGACCCTAATTGTACAATTGGTTTTTATATTTTTTGTCATAAATCACAATGTCCCTGAATTTTGTCATCAGCCAACGAGGACTTGTGTCAGCATCTTTAAAGTGACTGTGTTTCTTTGGTAGGTAAAGGATTGCCTATGTACTGTGAAGGGGTACTTGACAGACACAAATACACACTCACACACAACTCACACACACATTTTAACTCATTCACACATAAAAAAAAACTACGCAATGGGTTTTGATGCGGTTTTTTTAAATAGTTAAAGTAATTGTAAAATAAATTTATCTATATAATAACATCCATTAAATACTGAGTTAACAAATATAGTACCAGCACCGCCTGGTAGAAAACCCTCATATGGAGAAAAGGCCAGGGTCAGCACAGTCTAGCTGTAAGCCCAGGATTGCGGGGGCAATGATGCGTCCCGGCTTGGATTGTGAGACAGAACGAAGTAGTTGTCAGTAAGAGTCTTTCCTCTTGGTCTTCCTAGAACTCATTGGATATTTATTTTTGATGTAGGTTGTAAAGGAGTAGACGGATCGCCTGATGGTAAGGAGTCGGTGTCTTTCATGGACATCAGCAAAAAAGATGGAGCTACGAGTGCATTGCGGGATTTTTGAGTGTTAGGGATCTAACACTCAAAAATCGGATCGGGAGGATTGGGACCAGGAACCTCATTCATACACTGTGTACTACAAACGCAAGGTGGTGGTTTACGTTGATTTTTTCTGCGAAATATTATATATGTAGG